CGACCGATTTTCTGGTACTCGGGTTTGACCTCATCTTTTATGGCCACTTCACCTTTGGTCCGAGCTTCTCTAAGGCGTAGACTATTTCTATAGGTGACACACAAAAATTGTGAGCGGATAATAAAGGGGGAATACCTCTTTCGTTTGAGTGAGTCCATGTCCTTGATCTGGGTGGGCCTTCTTTGTGGCGGGAGGAGGACGCAACGACCGCTCTGACATATGGTAGATGTCATTCCCTGTTGGGTCGCGGAGCTGCGAGGTCCCTTCTGGTGTTATTTCTAGAATCTTTTCCGGATTCGGCCTGTACCGAGGTCAATCGATAAGTTGGTCCATTGAGGCCGTCCTCGTTTGCTCGGACCTCGGTGCAATACACGTTGTGTATTTCATCCCAAGTAGTTGGAGGGTACTTCATGAGCCGACTTAATAACTTTCTTGTCGCCCTCGAACCATTCCTGCTCAGCCCGTTCTGAAAGGCTGCGACCGCCATCCCTTTTGATACATTTGGCAATGTCATCCTTACTCGGTTAAACCGGGCGAGGAAGTCCCTCAATCCCTCTCCCGGACACTATTTAACAACAAATATGTCATTTACTCTCGCCTCGGCCTTCTTGGCCATGGCATGGGCCGTTACGAACTTGTCGTCCATCTCTTCGAAAGTTTCAATGGAATGCACAGGTAGTTGTGAATACCATGTTAACGCTCCTCCTGTGAGGGTTTCACTAAAAAACTTCAACAAAATGGAAGATACTTGTTCTTTGGCAAAGTCATTGCCTTTCACGGCAGTGACGTAGTGAGTCACATGATCTTCAGGGTCGGTCATGCCATCATATATCCTGAGGTAGGGCGGCATTTTGAAGGTTTTGGGTATGGCATGTGGGGCGGCGTCATCACTGTACGACTGCTCGACGAACCGGCAGCATCTATTTTTGGCAAGAGCTTAGGGGAGCCCGGTATCTTATCGACCCTTTCTTGGTGTTCTCTCATTTGGTCCCGGAGTGCTTTGTTCTCATTCTATATTTCCTCCATCCTTTTGAGAATGGCTGCGATAGTGTCGCCATCTGCACTATTAATGACATTGTGAGTAATACCTGTCGTTGGAGGAGGAGGAAATTGGTTATGATGCTCGTCTGCTGGTTGTATGATGCAAGTCCTTGCGTTTTCTGTAGCCGTGTCCCGAACGGGCTTATGGAGGATGCTGGTTAGCGCATCAGTTAGCCACGCTTCAAGGAGATTATTTACTGCTGGGGGCGTCTCCTCTTCCACATATGTGGGGGCTCCCTTACCAAGGGATTTTGTGATGCTGCAGTGGGGAGGGGGTGACCCATCTCGCCTAGGGGAGGCATTCGGCGTTGCGTCTTCGTCCTCTATTTCATAGCTCACATTGATGATGTTCATGAGGGTGGTTGGGAGGTCACTTATCATTCTCGTCCTTTCTTCTCTGTTACCTGCCATATTGGATCTGTGCATACAAATAAAGGATATCTTGTTCTTGCTCTTTTTTTTTACTTTAGCGATCCGTGTTAGTTATAGATCTAGAGGAAACTAAAAATTTAACTAGGAAATTTCTATATATGGTGCCAAATTGTTTGACCAAAAAATATAATTTTCGGCTAGAACAGTTGAGTTTATATAATAATGGGTTAAACTTAGTTAATAATAATATCTCTAGATGTGAGTTCTTAAAACGTGACTAACGTTAGATAGGTCTGATGGTGGATTGATAACAACATGCATTAACTGTTCCAAAAAGTATTAGCAATAATGGAGGGGGAACTAACAATAAATAACAATAAATGATATTTAAGTAAATAACATCGTTGTGAAGAGCGTCAACCCCCATTTAGCTTAAAGCGAGAAGCGAGAGGCGAAGCGCTCGCTTTTTGAAGTGAAGCGAAATTTAAAAAAATATTAAAATTAATACTGCATAGACAACACATGTAATTATAAGCAAATGTTCAATACTTCAAGGAAGGGCAGTAATTCTCTATTAAAAACTGGGCAGAGAAAGAAGAACTCAAGGATTGGCATCAATTCAGAGAAAGAACCGAAGGTAAAAAAAATAGTTCGCTAGCATTTCGCTGCTATTTGGACGTTGAAACAGTGAAAGAAGGAGAAGGAGAAGGAGAAGAAGGAAAATTAGAACATACCTGTTGCTGTTGAAGACTTAAACTTGAAGTTGAAGTTGAAGAAGAAGAAGAACCCTAGTCACCTTCTAGTCGCCTCTCAGATGTTCTGCTGAAAACCATTCGTTTAATAAAAGGCACTGAAATTCATTTTTAATTAAATAGCCTGGCTTCTGTTTAAAACAAAGAAGCGGTCGCTTCCTTCGCATTGCTACGCTTGTCGCTTCTCGCTTTTTAGTGGGAAGCAACCGCTTTGTTCTACCTGAGTCACTCACGTATGGGAAGCGGGCACTGAGTCGCTTCTCGCTTAAAGCGAGAAAGTGAGAGCTTTCTCTAACACTGGTAAATAGGAGAAGTGGTTCACCCAGTAAAGGATGAACTAGATGATTGTCTCTCTTGACAATGATGAGTGACAGACAAATCCTAGAATGTTCGAATTATTCTCGGATCTGATGGAAAAGTATGGAATAATATGAACAAGATCCTTGATGAAAAAGTAGTGTTTGTATCTTTATAAGAGAGAGAATCTTTTATCAGAAGCCTGTTCTTATTGAATAAGTGTCACATGCCCTCATTCATTGTCTTTTTTCCTATTTATATGGGACATATTCATAGCAAACCCTAATAATACAGGTGCAGAGAATATCCACTAGAATATTCTCTTTTATATCCTATTCCAAAAACTAGTCATTACAGCTCTATCTGCGGTGCTCGACCTCGATCATTGTTGGCATCTCGACCACGAGTCTTGCTGCTTCCTGATCGACCTCGACTGACTCTTTTCTCAATGACTCTTTTCGACCTGTACAGTTAGTCCCTCCGCTTATTGAGGTCGGCCTCATAATACCTTGATGAGCGGATTCTGTTTGTTGTGGTCGAGGAGATTGGACGAGTGGGTCAAGTAGTGACGTTTGAGACAAGCGACAACGTGGCCTTTCGTGAGCTGCAACTTTTTAGGGTTACGTCGTTTCTACACCCAAGTGACGTCATGATATCATACGTCATTATGGCGCGTTTTTCCGATGCTTTGCGTCGTTTCCCATGTGTCTATCGGTTGGATCTGCCGTTTCGATACCAGTGTTGAGTAATAATGGCATAATTTCTTGGTTTTGATGCCCAAATTCTTATAAATAGGGATGTGGGGGCATTCATTCATGCTTTACGTATTTTTCATATCGAATCCTTGTGTCTTCTTCCCCTTACTCTATTGTTGTGTGTTTTCTTTCCTAGTTCCGGTGATTCCAGTGGGTGGCATGTCACACATGGCCAAAATGTTAATGCCACATGGAATTTAGCGTTCACCTTGGACAACCTTAATGAAGTAGGCGTATATTTAATCCAATTATATAATATGAAGGATTTATTTAAACACAAAATATAATGGAGTATAAACTTGATCCTAAAGAGGTAAATTTGAATCTTTTCCCTATAGTGGTAGGGGCGGGCAGCGCTTTTTCTTTCTTTTCAGATTAAAAATCACGTGCTATGCACACAGATTTTGTTGTACAGTTTATTTTAGACGAAAATGTTATAATTATGGAGCAAACTTGTTCATCTTAGGACACATTAGGGATGCTCTTTGTTAGCCATAATATATTAAGGATGTACTTAAATTTTCAGCTATACTTTAAGAGTCTGTTTGGAAAGCCACTTTGTAATTGGAATTGGTGTAATTATTAGGGTAGTAATTACACAGCCTAGTACGATAGTCTGTTTGTTTGTCATAGTGTAATCACAGTGTAATTACAAGTTTACTGTTTCGTTGCACAAGTATAATTACACAGTTAGATTAAATTTTAAATTAAATAATTATCAAAACTAAAAAATAATATAATAAATATATACCTATAAGATTTTATAAGTATAAATGATAATATATTTTGTATTTAAGATGTATATTTTTTCGTGAATATACATTAATTAATAATCATATATTTTTAACTAATATTGTTAAAATAATTTATATATATATATTTTAAATTAATAATATTTAGTTTAGATACTTACAAAAACTAAATAAAGTATACGTTTAGTAAGAACATCATGGAATTCATGTTTGATAAAATAAATTAATATTTACAAATATAATGTCATAACATTATTTAAATGTTTGACAAAACTAATCTATCAATTCTAATTAAAAAATGAGCAACATGCAATGTGAGGCAATACTACTAAAACAAGTAAATTTGAACCATGAATATAACACAATTTCAAAATTCAAAAAAAAATAAATAGTTTAACATATGTCAATTCCAACATAATAATAGTAAGTTCCAGTGCAACTAATAATTAGGAAACATGATTAGTTTATAACCACATTCAACAACAAAATTCCACTTTAATTGCATCACTCATTATATGCCAAGTTTGTTAATGACTCATTATTTCTAATATTAGGAGGTGTATCTTAAAAATATAGAATAATAAAATAAATAATAAATAAAATATAGTAAGTAATTACATGGAATCACGAGAAATAAAGATAGAGAAATAAAAAGTAAATAATGTACAAAGAAAAATATATTTTAAAATTTCAAAAGAAATTGAAAAGTAAAAATAAAATTAAAAAATTAAATAATAAAAATAAAAAGTTATAAAGAAAATAAATTAAAATAAAAATAAAAAGAAAAGAAACTAAAAACCAATCTTGTAATTACACAGTATAATTACCACCAATTCTCACCTCCCTTGAGAATTGGAGAGTGTAATTACCACCAATTCTCACCTCCCTTGACAATTGGAGAGTGTAATTACACCCCTCCAATTACCCCAATTCCATGCTCACCAAGTAATTACTTGGCCAAACAAACATGCCAAACTGTGTAATTATACCCAATTACACCCAAATTGGCTTTCCAAAAAGGCTTTAAAGGATGATTTTCGTCAAAATATCGAATTCCCATTGCCAAGACTTGAATCTATTAAGGTTTCCTCCACACTCCTTTCTTGCCTTGACATGGACTTATCAACTTGCCCTTTCTGTAATCTCACAGTTCTCACCCTTGAACTCGAAAGGTATACCCGTAAAACTTCGCTTGTCTACTCTTCTTTTCTTTGTGCTTGTTTATTACTATTTGTTATATGTTCTATGCCAATTGCTAATTTTTTCTTTCACATTTGACACTATTAATACAGACACGCAAATAGTCACTTCGACGATGAAGACATTTCCAAGGACTTGGAATTGGCACAAGAAATTGCCCTTGCCTCCTCAAGTCCACCTTATTTCCAGGTACCCCTTTTTCTCTTCGTGAATTAATACAGCTTTTTAATTAATTTGACTATCTACACAATGGCCATCACCATTTTTGTAACCCTTAAGGGCATATATGACTAATGACCCTCTTTGGAGCGATAACTCCAAAATCTAAAAGTAGGGTTAGGGTTTCAAACTTCTCGTCAATAATAGGGTAAGCTTTCGAACTGTCGTTGGCAATGTGGGATGGATAAGCATCTTTACCAATGATGTGGGTCCTTTTGTTATTTGCTAGTTGGTTTTATCATTAGGAAGGAGCTTTGGAGCAACAGGAAAGTTGTCTCCGTGTGGCCTACATGTCACGAGTTCTGAGGCATGGAATGAGCCATTAATATTTGCATCAAAGTAGGCTTCCTACATTATACCCCTTGGGGTGCGTCCCTTCCCCAGACCTGTGTGAACGCGAGATACTTCTTGCACCAAGCTGCCCTTTTCTTAATCATTTTGTAGATAACCTTATAGTTTGAAATTGGTTAACTTCTCTTGTAAATATATCTTTAGTTGTAACTATGATTGCAAAATTGATACTGCATTGAGGTATCACTCCAATGAAACATGGGAAGAAGTAGCAGAAATGAAGGAAAACAGAAGAAGAGAAGAGAATAGAAGCAGAATTTAGAGAAGAAGCAGAGGAGAACAAGGAAACTCAATTCATATCAATCTGACTTTAACATTTTTGATGTACCTCCTATTTATAGTATTTGTAATGAAGCTAAAATGCTGAAAATAAAAGGAAAGGGAAATGCAAACACGCTAATTGTGTGACACAGCACTAACTACTTTTCCCGCCAAAATCTAGGCAACTACATTTCAAAAACTAATCAGCCAATATGTGTATCAATACCCCCGGTTGAACAACACCCTTGTCCTCAAGGGTGAAGGAGGGGAAACGAGCTTTAAGGGCAGAGGCTAATTCCTAAGTAGCATAGGAAGCATCCAAACCAGTCCACTTAACCAAACACGGAGCTACAACCTTGTTACCCTTCTTGATCAGCCTTCTCTCTATTATCGACTCAGGAGCGGGGCAAAATCGACTAGCCAAATCAACCACAGGTGGGTGTATTATTTCAGTAGGAACTTCATGACAAAATTTGAGCTAGGAAACATGAAATGTGGGATGGATTAGAACTTCTGGTGGAAGCAGCAGTTTATAAGCAACAACTCCAATTTTTTCAACTATAGGATAGGGGCCAAAGTAGCGAGAAGTCAATTTGTGGTAGGGAAAGGATGATACGGAAGACTGTCTGTATGGTTGAAGCTTGACAAAGATCCAATCACCAACTTGGAATTGTCAGTCTGACCTGTGGGCATTAGCTTGAGCTTGCATTTTTTGTTGTGCACGAGTGAGATGAAATTTAGCCAATTGAAGTTTGAACTCACGAAGCAGGGAAAGGTCCTCAATGGAGTCGACCTCTGAATCTCCAGGTAAGTAAGGCAGGTGTAATGGTGGGGGGTAACCACAAAGAAGCTCAAAAGGTGAAGTTTTAATAGCAGAATGTGGACTAGTATTGTACTACCATTCAGCTAAGGCAAGGAATGAAGACCAGTCAGAAGGAGAATCAGTGCAAAAGCACCTGAGGTAAGTTTCCAAACAGCGTTAAGCACCTTGAGCAATAAGAAATTCTCTCCAAAAGGAGCTAATGAAGATAGGGTCTCTGTCACTTGTAATGGAAGCCGGAAATCCATGAAGTTTGAAGACATTATCCAAGAAAATAGAGATGAGGGACTGAGCAGTATAAGGATGAGCCAAAGCAATAAAGTGAGCATGTTTGGTAAGGCGATCAACAATGACCCATATAACTGTTTTGCCTCGAGATTTAGGCAAACCTTCTATGAAATCCATTGTGATATCTGTCCAAGGAAGAGCAGGATTAGGCAAAGGTTGGAGAAGGCCAGGAGAAGCACCAGTGTCATACTCGTTTCTTTGGCACACAGAACATTTGTGAATAAAGGTCACAATGTCAGTTCTGATTCCCTTCCAATAAAAATAAGTAAGAACCTTCCTCATAGTGGCATCAATACCCGAGTGGCCCCCAGAGGGAGTGGAATGCCACAATGTGAGTATTTGTTGTCTCAAAACAACATTGTTGCCAACTAGCAGCTTACCTTTCCTTGTAAGCTGCTCATTCACCCAAGTGAAGTGCTTCTGAGGTTGTTGTTGCAAAGAAGCAATCAAAGCCTTCAACTCAGGATCTGAATACCAACTAGCTTGAATGTCCCTCCATAAATCAGCTTGAACAGAAGAAAGGAGCATGGTCATCAATGAAGCACCTTGAATTCTAGAGAGGGCATCTGCAGCTACATTCTCTTTGCCCTTCTTATAGTGGACCTGAAAATCAAAAGGCAAAAGCTTAGCCAACCACCTAATTTGAGAATCAGTATGGAGCTTTTGTTCCAAGAGATATTTAAGCGCCTTCTGGTCAGTTCTGACAATAAAGTGCTGGCTGAGAATAATGTGACCATTTAGTCACAACAAAGGCTAAAGCAAGCAGCTCTCTCTCATATACAGACAAGGCAGCATGTCGGGGGGCCAATCCTTTACTAATAAAGGCTATAGGATGGTTGTTTTGCATAAGGACAGCACCAATACCAGATCCATTGGCATCAGTCTCAACAACAAATGGTAAGGAAGGATTTGGACCAAGGCCAAAACTGGTGTAGTAGTGAGAGCCAATTTAAGCTCAGTAAAGGCTTGTGAAGCAGCCTCAGTCTATAAAAAGTTGTCCTTCTTTAGCAAGTCAGTTAAAGGTCGACTAATAAGGCCATAGCCTCTGATGAACTTCCTGTAGTACCCAGCTAACCCCAGGAAACCTCTTAGTTGTTTTACAGTTGTGGTAGTAGGCCAGTGCTGCACAACCTCTATCTTCTTTGGGTCAGTAGCAACTCCTGGGCAGAGATAAAATGCCCTAAATATTCCACTCTTGGCACACCAAAAATACATTTGGAATGCTTGGCTAATAAATTGTTCTGCAGCATGAGATCAAAGACCTGTTGTAAATGAAGAAGATGATCCTGCAAGTTCTCACTGTAGATGAGAATATAATCAAAGAAAACAAGTACATATCTTCTGAGAAGATCCCGAAAAACATGGTTCATTAAGCACTGAAAGGTGGAAGGAGCATTGGTCAAGCCAAAGGGCATGACCAAATACTCATAGTGTCCCATGTGTGTTTTAAAAGCCGTCTTAGGTATATCCTCAGGGTCCATCCTGATCTGGTGGTAACCAGATCTGAGATCAATTTTAGAAAAAATAGAAGCCCCTAATAGTTCATCCAGCAGGTCATTAATAATAGGAATGGGGAATTTGTCCTTGATAGTGCAGTGGTTTAGATCCCTGTAGTCCACACATAACCTCCAAGTGCCATCCTTCTTACCTACCACCACCACAAGTGAGGCAAAAGGACTGTTACTGTACAGTATGCCCCCTTGTTGTAGCATCTCTTTTACCAACTTCTCAACGATATCTTTCTTCATAGAAGAATATCTATAAGGCCGGATATTGATTGGTTTGGTACCAGGTTGCAATGGAATCCTGTGGTCAAATGCACCTCTTGCAGGAGGTAGTGCAGTAGGTTCTGAGAATACCTGCTTATAGGTTGTCAACAAGTCCCGGAGTGACTGAGGCATCGGCTCATCATTATGTAAATGTAAGGCTAGCATAAGTCCATCACTTCCATGAGCAGGTAATGGGCCCTCAAACAACACCTGTAGCATATACAATTGAGCATGGTCACCTTGATATACAATTGAGCATGGTGACCTTGATACCTGTTAACAGCTTTAGAACTAGAGAGTTTACAATCATCTGAAACTCCCTTCAAAAGATGATGTTTGCCCTGGTAGTTAAAGGTCATAGTTAGGGCTGAATAGTCCATTGTAATTGGACCTAAGGTCTTCATCCACAAGGCTCCCGAAACCAAGTCATATCTACCAACAGGAAAGACAATGAGATCAGATACATATGTAGTACCCTCTAGCCTCCATTTAAAATCCTTTACCACCCCAGAAGTGGCTTCGAGGGTGTTGTTGCCTAAGCTGACATAGCTTAACACAGTAGGAGTAACAGAACAACCTAGCTTCTTTGCAGCTGATGAGTCTATAAAATTATGAGTGCTCCCACCATCTAGGAGAATCTGAATAGGTCGTTTATCACTGTAACATGTAACATGAATGGTCTGTGCTCCCTGAATACCAGCTAAGGCACATAATGAAATGTGAGGATGTTCTTCTTCAGCAGCAGGCCACTCCTCAGGGAGTATCTCATCTTCAGAAATGATGTCTCTCCTTTCTGTAGGTGCAGCATCAGGTCCTTCAAGCTCTAAGATAAGTAGCTATTTTGGAAGGTTACATTTGTGACCTGCAGTGTATTTTTCATCACAGAAATAACACAATCCCTGGGCCCTTTTTGCCTGCATTTCAACTGGAGAAATAGTTCTCTTGTTCCTAGGTATCACAACAGTATTAGCAGCAGGTAATGTCAATCGAGGTGTATGACTAACTGCTGAGTAGAGAGGAGATTTGAGGCCTTGGTTATCATAAGAAATTCTCCTAGCAGCAGAGTAACCAATTGAAGTATGTTTCTGAGCTCTGGCATTAGCAGCCAAAGTGGCCTCAGCTAGCCTAGCTAGCCTGCAGGTTTTAGCTAAGGTTTTAGGCTCATGCATCATAATAAGATTCACCAATTCCTCCTTCAAACCACCAAGGAAGCAAGAGATAGCTTGCTCAACAATTAAGTTGCATTGAACTACCAATCTATCAAAGGCAAATTGGAACTCTCTAACAGATCCTGTTTGTTTCAACTGTTTCAATTCCAGCATAGGATCAGAAAAGTCACCACTAAAAGTCTTGATGAGCTCAACTATGTACTCATCCCACACAGGTAGCATAGGTAAATTCCTACACTATGATTGATGCCAAGCTAGTGCTTCATCATCGAGGTTCATAGCTACTAACCTCACTCTCTGATTGAGAGGAGTTTCATCCTCAGCAAAATAATGTTCGATTCTATACTACTACGTTTTCAAATTTTCTTCATTGAATCGAGGAAAAACCAGGTTATGACTTCGATTAGCATTAACACAGTAAGGATTTGGGCCTGGAATACCCTGACCTGACTGAAGCATTTTGTCCTTAGCAGCAGATGTAGATGCACTATCCTTCGATTGTTGATTCAATTGCAGTCCATCAAAGGAGTGTTTAAGAGCACTCACCATCTGCAAAAGTTCACCATGACATTTGTCCAAATCATCTCTTAATTCCTGCTGTTTTTGTGCCAATTCTGCTCGAAGATCTAGTTGTTGAGCTGCTAGATCTTCGTACTGCTCCTGCAAATCCATGGATGGATTACCAGTTACAACGTCAACAGCTCGTCGTGGGCCCATCTTCTACGAGGCTCTGATACCAATTGATACCAAATTGAGGTATCACTCCAATGAAACAAGGGAAAAAGTAACAGAAATGAAGGAAAACAGAAGAAGAGAAGAGAATAGAAGCAGAATTTAGAGAAGAAGCAGAGGAGAACAAGGAAACTCAATTCATATCAATCTGACTTTTACATTTTTGATGTACCTCCTATTTATAGTATTTGTAATGAAGCTAAAATGCTGAAAATAAAAGGAAAGGGAAATGCAAACACGCTAATTGTGTGACACAGCACTAACTACTTTTCCCGCCAAAATCTAGGCAACTACATTTCAAAAACTAATCAGCCAATATGTGTATCAAAAATTTCATATGGAAGATTCTTCTATGTGGATCTGGAAGAAGCTGGTTTTTAGACTTCCTAATAAGTTATTTTTTGAGAAAGGTAAGAACTTGTATACATCTATCATTAGCACAAAGGCGGTGCTAAATGCCGTGTTACTGTTAAAAAACAAGAAAGTTTATCCTTGTTCGTCTTGCAAGGACTCTGTTGCGTCTAGGATAGACTTTGCATCATCTACATTGTCCTTCTAACAATTTACAAGGACTTCCTAATAAAATATGCATAACACTTCTTAGGTTTTGCCTAACTTTCTGTTTTAATCGTGACTTCTGCTATGTTGCATTCTGAAGCGTTTTTTTCCTCCTTAATTAAATTAAAACTTTTAAGGATTTTCCTAACTTTTTGACATTATTTATAACTTTTGTTAAGTTACAATTTGAAGGAGTAATTGAAGATCATTTCCTCCTTCAAATTTTATTATATTTTTAATGATTTCTTAGCTTTTTGACATTATTTGTTACCTTTGTTAAGTTACATTGAAGGGCTTATTCTTCTTTCATATTTAGTTAAGTTTCTTAAGGATTTGCCTAACTTTTTTTATGTTACCTGTAACTTTGTTAAGTTAGGTTTTGAAGGTTTTCTTTCCTGCTTCAAATTTAATCAAATATTTTGAGAATTTTCCTAACTTTTTTCACCGTTACACTTTGAGTTTCTTTTCTTTTCCTCCGTCGAATTTTATAAAACTGTTTCTACCTCCATATAATTTTGGAGTCAAATTTGTATTTTTTGGCTGCAAATGTTTAAGAATTTTAGAGCATTAAAATTTCTAATATTCTTATTGTATTTTAAATTGGTAAAATTTGGCCTCCAAAAATGGCTTGTTACATAAGATGAATGGGATATAGGGTCCTAAAAATAATGAAAAACCTTGTTTTTTGCTAGCTCTAACTTTCTAAAGACTTGTTTACATGATCATCAGGTTGATGATGCCATGCAGTGTGAAACCAGTTCTCGGAAGAATCATGAGAATAGTTTCTTGAAATGTGATGCCAAAAATTGCACACCTGGAGAGGAAGATCTAACTGGAAAGATAAGGATTTTAGCTAGTGTGCAGATCAAGGAAAACTGCCCTCAGGTTGGACAAGGCTTGATGGATTTGTTGAAGAACTGTTTAGAGTTGGAGACTGAAAAGACCACCACTATTTTGTGTGGTTTTGTTGATCATTTTCAAAGCAGCCCTTCAGAGGATTTTGGGTGGGGTTGTGGGTGGCGTAATATCCAGATGCTTAGTTCTCACTTGCTTAAGCAACATCAAGAAGCAAGGGAGGTGTTGTATGGAGGTTCTGGGTTTGTACCTGACATCCCTTCACTCCAAAGATGGCTTGAAATTGCTTGGCAAAGAGGCTTTGATAAACAGGGCTCGGAAGACTTTGATCAAGCAATTTATGGCAAAAGAAATTGGATTGGAACAACAGAATGTGCTACACTCTTCCGTTCGTTTGGCGTTCGGGCCAGAATAGTGGACTTTATAAGCCGTGAAATAGTCTCTAGGTCTAATGGAGTCGGGAATTATGTCAGCAAGATATCACCACAGGTTTATGGACCAATGGATAAATATCTGTCCAAAAAGAAAAATGATATATCTGAGGCTGTTTCTATTTCGTACGATGTAAAGGCTAAGCCTAGGGTCCAACAGGCACTCATTGATTGGGTGTGGAGTTACTTCTCTGACAATAAATTCAAGAATTCAAGCAATCATGGTATCCTAGTGAGTCAAAAAGCGTAAGTGAATTTAGTCAACAACTGTATTTCCTTGATTAACTAGGACTATGCAATCATCTTATTTTTCCATGAATTTTCTTTTCCGAGTTGTTTCATCAGCATTATTTCTTTTTGTAGTGGGATCGCTTATAAGCTTCATTGAAACAGGCCCTTGTACTTCCAGCATGATGGCCATTCAAGAACCATTGTTGGGATTCAAAGTAGATGTCAGAGAAATGGGTCGATACATTACAATCTATTGATCTTAGATCCAGGTCATGTAAGTATATGCACATGCATTGATAAGCAAGTCTTTTATCACGGCTCTATTATTGCTTGTTCTTTATGCACATCCCTGATGGCTATATTGCCATACTTCTTGAAAGGATTTTTAGTCATCCCTACCATATTTGTCATATTCCTTGAAAGGTGTATGTTACATCCTTAGTCTCCTCTTCCCTAGTTAAATGATTATAATGATTTTATTTTCTTTTATAAACCATTTTCTTGTTATCTTGCCGATGTTACTGCCTGGTGCTACTGCTTTTTTCATCTTTCCTTGAGCTGAGGATCTATTGGAAATAACCTCTCTGCCTTCTCAAAGTAGGGGTAAGATCTGTGTTCACGCTATCCTCCCCAGACCCCACTTGTGGGATTATGTTATTGTTGTATTAACTGAAGATGGAACAGCATATTACATTAGATGTTGGTTTTATGATTCAGAAAGTTGGCTATGCTTCATGACTTCCTCTTTTGGCAGTTGGTTTCATGGTTTAATCTTCTTATGTATCATTGGTTCCAGAACTAAGTAGTCTTTAAGGAATTTTAGACTTTTGCATTAAATGTGTTGTTAAGGGTATTTTTACATTGTCAATACAACTGGAATTGCATTATGTAGTCTAGATAAGCACATATGAGAGATTTGTGACTGTGCTGCTCTCATTTAATATTGCTGTACTGCAAATGTGCACACTTATTAAATGCTATCGTTTAAGGTTCTTAATCATGTTTCCTTGCATGTTGTAGTTCTCATCACTTAAGGTTTAAGACATGATTTGGGAATGCCTGAAGATGGGATAGTTACCGAAATGTTTTGCTTTCTCCTCCCTCCCTCTCTTGTTGAGGTGTTGAGAAGAAATCAAATGATGCTGTTCATTGCAAAGCTATTTAATGCCCTTCCAATTTAGGGCGAAAGCTAAAAGACTTCAGATTTTTTCGTTCTTTTTACTCGTAAATTTTGTCAAAATATCAAATTACCTGTCCGGGGGGGGGGGGGTGTTACCTTTATGATAAATCATCTATAATATCTCTAGATTACTTACCGAAGTTCCACTATGCCATGTCTCAGCCAACAGAATCCATGGCAAAATCTCTTAAAGAAAATGCCGGTTGGCAAAAGCTAGTAAAAAGAGGTGTCCACACCCTGAAGAAGCCATTGTATCAGGTATTACTGCATTTCAACCGTCTGGCATTTATTTGACTGTCCTGTTTTATGCTATCAATTAACACACTATTTCTCTTGCAGTTGTGTTTTATTGATCCTGGAATTGCCTCTGGGGAAGAGATGGAAAGACTAAAGAATCTACAGAGTGTCCGTGTTGAAGTTTAGTCCTAAAATCTAAAGGATCTACAATATCCAACTTGGATTTTAGACAAAAATCTTAAAGGGGTGCTCTTTCCTTACATGTAACCATCCTGTGTACTCAGTCATAGTGGATATGAAATATAAGTTTAACTGTTTTGCCATATGATTTCTGCATATAATAGCTACTTAGACACTAAACTCTTTTATCTACCAAAACGAGAAAAAGGATTTAGGAGGTGGAAGTGTGTTAAGGTCCCTAGTTTTGGATATGAGTCACTAGATGATTAACAGGAAAATCAGGCCCAAGACGCAGGTCTCGGCCCTTGTTCTTATTCCTTGGCTTGCCTATGATTACTGAATTTTGCAATTTACTAAAAGGGAAATGCAGACCTTGGAACTCATTTGAGAGAGTGTCTAATCTCTTTACTTTAAGGGAAATTCAACCTGTTTCACCGATAGACATTAACTCTCTTAAATGTCGTGTTGCAACTTACAATAGCTTGAAATCGTAACAAAACAAATTTAAAAAATTATCCTGAGTCCTAACTCACTGGTTGCAATGGCAAAGTCCCAACAAAATAAAATAGCAAGAGCTGTAATTCACTTAGGAAATTTATCTAAATCTAACTAAATAATTCAACAGCTATCAATCCCATATGGCCATACCTGCCCTATCTGGTATATCATTTCTCAACATATGCAACAGTGTGAAAACTAACAAATATATTGTTTACATGAGGGTGGCCCATATCTGGTATATTTTATGCAATTATCAGTGTGCTTCAATTTTCCCCCCAATACTTTGGAGCCTAACAAATCTTGAATAAACACCATCTGTTTCTGCCATCAGGTTTGAGTGGCTACCTTTTTCTACAATCTTACCTTTGTCCATAACAATTATAGTATCTGAATTTATTACTGTGGAAAGCCTGTGTGCCACTGTGATTTGTGTCACTTTCGTGCCCCCAAAACTGTGCAGTTTCATTGATCCCAGTGCACTCACCACTGCCCTTTCTGACTCGGTATCTAAGGCACTTGTTGCTTCATCCAACAGCATTATTCTTGGCTTTTTGAGCAAGGCCCTTGCTATTGCTATTCTCTGTTTTTGCCCTCCAGAAAGTTGGGAACCCTTCTCCCCCACAAGAGTGTCATATCCGTCAGGCAAGTTACTTATAAACTCATGTATGTTTGCTGACCTTGAGACTTCCACTATTTCAGCTTCTGATGCTCTTTCACTCCCATAGCAGATATTTTCTCTAATCGAGCAGCTAAACAGGAGTGGCTCCTGTTGTACCAATCCAATCTGTGCCCTTAACTTTCTAAGATTGTAATATCTTATATCCTTGCCATCAATCAGAACTTTTCCCTCGTTAATATCATAGAATCTCAGTAACAACGCCACAATTGAAGATTTTCCAGCTCCACTTTGCCCAACAAGTGCCACCTTTAATCCAGCTTCAACTTGTAGACTGAAATTGTTGAGAACTATTACTTTTGGTCTTGAAGGATAACAAAACAGGACATTTCGGAATTCAATTTCTCCTTTAATGGTTTCGTGTTCTGAAGTATCTGGCGCGTCTGGTATAATTTCTGTGCACCGGTCAAGGTTTTGGAATACAGGTTTTAGTACATCTATGGCTGATAGTACTGTGGGTATCAGTGTCCATAGTTCTGTAATTGAGGGTACAGTTAGGGAGAATATCTGGTATGCCCTTATCCCATTCTCAAAGCTGGCTTGGTTCCTATCGACAAGAATTGTTGTGTACCACAAGGCTACTGCATGAGCTATGTTCCATAAGCAGAGAGAGGTGCCTTGGATAATTCCAAATTTGATGCTTTCTGTCTTCCCTTTCCTAAGTGGCCTCTTCAAAGACAGTTTGGCCTTCTCGAGTATCTGCTCTTCATGGCAAAAAGATGCAAGAGTCTTTATATTAGTTGCAGATTCAGAAGCTAGGGCAACAAGTTCTGAGTGTGCTAGAGTACCATCACCAGAAAATCCTTTAGCTGACTTTGCTTGGATGAGGCCACCTATGAAGTGGCATGGCATCACAGCCCAGGCTACCAGACTCATTCTCCAATTAACTATCATGCTGACGGTTGTTGCAATCACTATGGATGAAATGCACTGAACAATGACAGACATGCGGTCAGATATTATGATCTTGACTGTGGATGTGTCACTGACTATCCTTGATGTAACTGATCCAATACTGTTTTCGGGCTTTTCAAACCAAGCTAGTTCATTTCGTAGCGTGGCTGCAAATAGTTTTTGAAATATCATTAAACTTCAACTTTTATATTGGTAAAACAAAAAAGTTTCTGCATAGGGAACAAAACTGAAGGTAAAATAGCCATGGAGAAAAGAGGAAATGGAAGAAAACAAAAACAGAAATTGATGTGTCTGATCTTCCAGGAGTTTATGTAAGTAGGATACCTGTATACAAAGCTCGCCTGAGATTTGTCATGGCCTTTTCTCCAACTATTCCAAATAAGTAATGCTGCAAAGTGTTAGCAAACAAAGAAAGCACCCCAATTGAAGCAAATATTGCTGAATACAGAGCTACTTTCTCCTTTGAATCAGGATGGTAATATGCCACTCCTATCGTAATGATGAAGAACCCAAAAAAAGGTTTAGAGATGCCTGCAAAAGCTGCTGCTAAGGAGCCAATAATAGTCTTTATGATCTCTTTCTCAGTCAAGGCAAACCAGATTCTGAAGAATATATGTGTTTCTTTTTTCTGGATTTGCTCCTTCTCAGGAAGTTCCTTAACCTCTCTTTTGCTTTCCCTTGGCTCATCTGGTTGCTCATCGTCCTGAGATGAATCCTCTTTTATGGGAAGAGTTTTCTTTTTTGTAACCTCCGACCTGTCAATTAAATGTATTTCATTTAAGTTCAACCAGTTTAACTTGTAACGATGAATATGTATTTGTTGTTGTTTGTTGGCAGTACCTCCTTGGTACTTGCCTTAATAAAATTACCTTATTTTATCCAAAAAAAGGAAAAAGAAATTGTAACGATGAATATGAAGTGGAGTATAATCTGACCTGGTTTGACATTCTTCACTGATGTGCTGCATGCTAAATAAGCTATTGTAGAATGTACTCGTATCTAATAGGTTATGATGTGTTCCTGTCTCCACTACTTTCCCGTTCTCAACAATGGCTATCATATCTGCATTAACAATAGTTGACATTCTGTGCGCAATTAAGATGACTGTTCTGCCTTGTGCTGCTGTTTCAAGTGCTTCTTGAACTTGCTTCTCCGACTCTGTGTCAAGTGCACTGGTGGCTTCATCAAGCAAAAGAATTGGAGGATTCTTTAAGATTGATCTTGCTATTGCAATTCTTTGTTTCTGTCCACCTGATAGTTGCCGACCACTTTGCCCTACCTAGGAGAGAACATTACAGGAAAGCTAATTTAGTATGCATCGGTTTTTTCATGGAAGCTGTGCTAATACAAGAATCAATGCCTAGTTTAGAATGCACTTTGAGGTCATGCTTTAAAGCTACTTTCCTTTTGATTATCATTCTGGGAGGATGACAGAGGAGCATGAACTATTTCTTCAGATACTGACAAGAATTTGGAATCCTCAATTTAGGGCATTTGGCTCTTGATGTCCTATAGTAGTAATTAGTAAATTTTTAGCGTTAATCGTATTCCGCAGTTAGATTTCAAGTTATTACTTTAGGGATTTTCTTACGCGAGTAACCATCTTTGATTATCAAATGGTTTCATCTTATGCCAGAGAGTACTTCTAATATGGGGTTGTATGTGGTAACCAGCTGTTCTTTTTCTTTCACTGTCCTACTGTGCCATACAGGAAAATTGAATAAGGAAACAGCACTTTCAGCTTTCAGGTGATCTTAACAAATGCTCTCTTGAGCAAAATGCTTATACTACAACTGAAATTGGTGTTCATGGAATTATATTGGCTCATTTGAATTGTATGTCTACTGTAGGAAAGCTGTATGTTCTCATCCTTCTATTTTAGCAATCTCTTATTGTCAATGTCTCAAAAGGAATCTAACAGGGAAGTCATTTGTCGCGGTTTGGGTAAAGGCAGTAAGACTTGCTTGGTGCACACCTTTTTCCTCCAGGCGTTCTCAAGCCCGAGACATGCCTTTGGGTGCCCTTTTTGTTTCTGAAGTGGAGAAGCAGAAACTCTTTTTTATTTCCCTGATCATGAGGAGGAGCAAAACTTATCATGATCTGGCTTTGGTTGGCAAGCTATGCGTATCAGTTCTTTTTTAATTGAATCTTGTTTTTGTAGAGTTCATAAAGGTCTAATCAGCTTCTGATTATCCCAGCTAATTAAGGATTCTCTGCAGATGAGAGTTCGAGCTATGCTGATGCAAAAAATAATGCTAATATCTTTAGTTTTAGAATGAGAAGTCAACACCTAAGAATTTCATTAGGATGCGAACATTAGCTTTTGGTACTTCTTGTTGTTTTATTTCTCGAAATGCATTTATATTTTTGTTCTGTTTCATTTGGGCCCTTAGATGTTTCTAACTGAAATGTTGGATTCAGGAGACAATCTCAGATGTTTCTCCTCAACTTTGATTCTTTAGGAATCTACTATGTTATGAACTAGCTTGTTCAAGTAATTGTAGACAGGTGTGGTGGACTGTCTTTTTTGATGAAGCTAGAAAACTCTTTTCATGTATGAACTATCATTAGAGGATATAATGCTTACCTAAATTCATGTGGTAGCTAACTTGTTCTATTTATGAATATCCTTCTCCTCATCTTTCTCTTTTTCCTTCCTTTAGCAACACCTCTAATTGACCTTATGAATTGTAGAAACATTTTTTATTATTATATTAATTGTCCTGTTCCTTCCAGCATGATTTTTCCATTACTCCATGACCAAATAGGAAATTTAATCATTCATTTAATTGAAAATATGCAGAACTCAATACCACAAACTGTCTAGATGGCTATATTTCTTTTTTCTAGAATCAGCCTAATGAAACAGTTATCATTATCTGAGTGCTAGTGGTCTGACCTCTGTTAGATATTGATCCGTTAACTGGGATATGAAAGCATGTGCATTTGCCAAGAGGGCAGCTCTCTCAATCTGTTGATCATCTGCGTTGATGTTTCCCATCTTAATGTTATCTTTGATGCTGCCAGCGAATAGTGATGGCTCCTGGGAAACT